GCTATACGCTGTCTGATGTCCCGACTGCTGCTTCCACTGGCGTCGATTGTGGGACCAAGCAATGTGAAGTCTTTGACAATTTCAATCTTTTCCCCATTCATCATGATGCTGCTTATAGGTCCAGTTGTGAAGATTTTTGTTTTCTTTATATTGAGATATAATCCATACTGCAGACTGTATTCTTCAGTCTTCATCAGTAAGTGTGTCTAGTAATCTTCACTTTCAGCAAGCAAAGTTGTGTCGTCAGCATATCGCAGGTTGTTAATGATTCTTCCTCCAATCCTAATGCCACGTTCTTCTTCATATAGCCCAGCTTCTAGGATTATTTGCTCAGTATACAAATTGAGTAAGTATGGTCAAAGAATACAGCCCTGAAACACTCCCTTCTTGATTTTAAACCATGCAGTGTCCACTTATTCTCCTAGAACGACAGCCTCCTAGTCTATGTACAGGCTCCTCATGAGTACAATCAAGTGTTCTAGAATTCCCGTTCTTCTCAATATTACTCATAATTTGCTATGATCCACATAACCGAATGCTTTTGCATAGTCAATAAAACACAAGTCAACATTTTTCTGGTATTCTTTGCTTTTAGCTAAGATCTATCTGACATCAGCAATGATATCCCTTATTCCATGTCCTCTTCTGAATCCAGCTAGCGTTTCTGGAAACTCTGTCAATATATTGTTTTTGAATTATCTCCAGTAAGATTTTATTCGCATGCAATATTAATGATATTGTTTGGTAATTTCCACATTCTATGGAATCACATTCCTTTGGAATGGGTACAAATATGGATCTCTTCCAGTCAGTTGGCCAGGTAGCTGTCTTCCAAATCTCTTGGCATAGCTGAGTGAGTGCCTCCAGTGGGGCATCCGCTAGTTGAAACAGCTCAACGGCTATTCCGTTAATCCCTGGAGCCTTGTTCTTCACCACTTCCTTCACCACAGCTTGGACTTCTTCCTTCAGCACCACTGGTTCTTGATCATACGCCGCCTCCTGAAATGGATGAACACCGACCGGGTCTTTTGGGTGCAGTGACTCTGTGTATTCTTCCATCTGGTTTTGATGCTTCCTGCATCATTCAAGATTCTGCCCACAGAATCTTCCAATATTGCAACTCCAGGCTTACTTTTTTTTCTTCAGTTCTTTCAGCTTGAGAAATGCTGAGCATGTTCGTCCCTTTCGGTTTTCTAACTCCAGGTCTTTGCACATTTCATTATAATAATTGACTTTGTCTTTCTGAACTGCTCTTTGAAATCTTCTGTTCAGCTCTTTTATCTTGTCATTTCTTCCATTTGCTTTAGCTACTCTCCATTCAAGGGCCAAGTGTCAGAGTCTCTTCTAACATCCATTTTGGTCTTTTCTTCCTTCCTTGTCTTTTTAATGACCTTTTGCTTTCTTCACAGTTGATATTCTTGATGTCATCCCACAAGTCCTCTGATGTTTGGTCATTGATGTTCAATGCTTCAAATCTATTTTTTAGATGGTCTCTAAATTCAGAAGAGATACAGTCAAGGTCATATTTTGGTTCTCGTGGACTTGTTTTGTCTTCAACTTCAAGTTGAACGTGCATATGAGCAGTTGATGGTCTGTTCCACAATCAGCTCCTGGCTTTGTTTTGGCTGAAGATATTGAGCTTTTCCATCACCTCTTGCCACAGATGTAGTCAATCTGATTCCTGGGTACTCCATCTGGTGAAGTCTACATGTATAGCCACTGTTTCTTTCATTGAAAAAATGTACTTGTAATGAATAAGTCAGTGGTCTTGCAAAATTCTATCATGCAATCTCCAGCATTATTTCTGTCACCAAAGCCAAATTTTCCAACTAAAAGTGATTCTTCGTTTCCAACTTTTGCATTCCAGTTACCAGTGATAGCTAACACATCTTGATTGCATGTTTGGTCAATTTCAGACTGCAGAAATTGATAAAAATCTTCAATTTCCTCATCTTTGGCTTTGGTGGTTGGTACGTAAATTTGAGTAACAGTAGTATGAACTGGTCTTCCTTATAGGCATATGGATATTATCCTATCATGGACAGCATTGTACCTCAGGACAGATCTTGAAACATCCTTTGAGATGATGAATATCACACTATTCTTCTTCAAATTGTCATTCCTGGCATAGTAGATCATATGGTTGTTTGATTCAAAATGGTCAAAAACGGTCCATTTCAAATCACTAATGCCTAGGATATCGATCTTTATGCGTTCTATTTCATTTTTGACAACTTCCAATTTTCCTAGATTCATACTTCGTACATTCCATGTTCCGATTATTAATGGTGTTTGCAGCTGTTTCTCCTCAATTTGAGTCATGCCATGTCAGCAAATGGAGGTCCCGAAAGCTTTACTTTATCCCTATTAGTAAGGTTGGCTCTACTCTGATGAAGCAGCTCTTTCCTAGTTATATTTTGAGTGCCTTCTGACCTAAGGGGCTCATCTTCCTACACTGTGTTGGACAATGTTTCCAAGCCATTCATTAAGTAGCTCAGTAATGTATCAGACAGTGTTTCTCTACTATTCATAAAGTTATCCCTGACCAATTCTTTGAGAAATGGATGGCCTCTTCCTTCTTCCTAGTCTGTCTCAGTCTGTAAGCTGCATTGAAACCTGTGCATCATGTGCAACTCTGCTGGCATTTGAAACACTGATGGCCCAGCCTCAAGCCTCACAGCAAAATGCAAGGCATCACAGTACAACAAACTGACAGACAAGTTCGTCAACCTTAACTGTTCGAAATCTCTCCACCCTGCCCTCACCTGGACCCTGCTGCCTTGTCGTCCCCGGCTCTCCCTCCTTCCTGTCTTTTGGGTGGGGGCTGTCTCCTTCCCCATACCTGGATCCTACCACCTGTTGTCCCCAGCTTAACCTCCTTCCCATCTTTTAGGAATGCATGGGGGAAAGGAAACCCTTTTTCTTTTTGTTTTTCCAAATTGGTCAATCATCTCTTTATAACTTTAGTGAAAGAGCCTTAGCTTAACTAGGAATGTCAAAGTTATACAACTGCTAGATAATTATACAGAATTTAAATACAGACAGAGGTAACGACGAGTGAGTATATTTAAATTTTCCTTTGATGGATACCCTACTGATTCAATGTTTTTGTAGACATCTTACTGAAAGAAAGGTACAATCCAAGGGGTCTAATACATAAGTTACCAGTTAGCACTTGCAGTGTAGTAAATTTAGTATGGCTTTTCTACCCATAAGTCATTGTAAACTCAGTGGTGGAATGAGCAACTGAGGAGCTCCTGATTGTAAATGTTATCC